AACCTCCTCCTCACCTTATCCAGCCATCATGGTCCTGGTCAGCATGCTGAAAGATGTCCACGGCCTCGTCGAGTGTGAATGCCTGCATCATAGCATCCTTGAACTCTTCCAAACTCAGCAACCCACTGTAAATAGAAAATACCCAAATAGGAAACAAGAATGAATACCGCAATTTGACAAACGAGGCAAGGGCATTGCTGCAGCAGTTGGAAACACAGTTGCTCAACGTTTCTTCTGGTTCCCTTTAAAAAAAAAAGGAAAAACAAAAAAAAGAAAGCGCGATCAAGAAGGACGGTGAACAGGCAATCACACTCACACTCGCACTCCCGTCTTCCACCGAGCGCAATGCACCCTCATCATCGTGACTGCATCTGCCCGGAAAGATAGTTTGTATACATTCATGATGAGAGTGCACTGTGTTCACAATGCACCTTCATCATCGTGACTGCATCTGTCCGGAAAGATAGTTTGTATACATTCATGATCACAGTGCATTGCGTTCACAATGCACCCTAATCATCGTGACTGCATCTGTCCGGAAAGATAGTTTGTATACATTGATGATGAGAGTGCGCTGTGTTCAGGGGAAGACGGTAGGTGCATGTATGTGGATAAAACAGGGGGTGTTATTTTCAGCGAATTTTTCACTGAAACTGTCATATTGGCTGGATTTTTTGTTGTTTTTTTTAAGTTTTTTCTGTTTTCCTTTCTTTTTTCTTTTTTTTGGGTGTGTGTGGGGGCTGGGGGGGGTGGGGGTATACGTATGTGCATTTTATAGGGTTTGCCAATCATTCATTTCTTATTATTCTTAACTTTTTAGTAACTCTTCTTCTTTTTCTTTTTTTTAACTATTTGGAGAATTTTGGACTAGTAAAGAAAACGTTAGCAATTTGTTGAAACTTGAAATCGATGAATGCTTATTTTAACTCAAGAAAAGTGTTTGAGCGTTCGGGTTCTATAGTGATTTTGTAATTTTTTTTTTTGCCTTTTTTTTCTGCCTGGTTGCACTGTTTTTTTTCTTTTTACTCTGGACCATTTCTCCATTTATGCGTGTCATCCTTGCGCAGGGGCCATGCTAATTAATTACCCTTCTCCGTATCGTTCCAAATTCCTATCTTCATTTTTAACGGAGGTCCTACAGGCGGCAGCAGTGATATTGATAGAGATGATGATGATGGTAGTCATTACGACGGCTGTGGCGATGATGACAATGATGATGATAAGGGATGCTCTCAACGACGATGACGATGACGATGATGATGATGATGATGATGATTAAGATAATCATGAGGGATGCTTGTAGCCATGATGACGATGATGATGATGATGATGATGATGATGATGATGGTAACCATCGTCTTCGTCTTCATCCTCCATCATCCTCCCTCATCCTCCTTCTCGTCCTCGTCATCATCATCATCATCGCTCCTCGTCCCTCTTTCCTCTCAGGATCGTCGATTATTCTCTCTTGTTGCTGGCCGGTGTTCTTTTTTTTTTTTTTGGCATGACCCAGCATCGGTCCATCGTTCATCTCTCTCTCTCTCTCTCTCTCTCTCTCTATATATATATATATATATATATATATATATCGTCAAATAGAACTGCCCGGTAAACCGTAGGCAGAGAGGGAGAAGAGGACAACAAACGAGGGGCTGTGACAAACTGTTTCGTCGGAGTTTCACCGACTCATATAATGAAATTATACTCAAGAAACAAGGCAAAAAAAAATAAACCATGTCATATTTCGAATCGAATAAATCGGAAAAAAGCGCACCAGTTCAGTGTGTGTGTGTGTGTGTGTGTGTTGTCATATTCGCTCTATAATCAGAAAAAGCATGACTGTACCAGACTGTTTCGTCGGACTTTCACCGACTCATCACGAGGTTGAACCCCGGACAGTCTGCCCAGTGTGTGTGTGTGTGTGTGGTGATCCTCCTCCAGCCTATCATTGGGCCGGTATTCTTTTTTTTGGGGCATGATCCACTTTCCCCACACAGGCAGCGTCGGTCCGTCGTTCATCTCTCTCTCTCTGTGTTGCATTTCGTAATGGAGCAGACCAGAACAACAACCGACCTCTCTCACATAGTCCAGGATAGCGCAGCGGAAGGCTAAATATCGCATACCGTCACGGTACAGACCAGAACAAGAGCCGACCTCTCTCACGTAGTACAAGATAGCGCAGCGGAAGGCTAATATACTAATGATCCGACCAATCAATGTCGCCATGCAGACCAAACCTACATCATCATCACCGCAAGGTGTGAAGGGCCTGGCGCTACACATAGGAAAAAGGCCCCAGGTCCAGACCATACACAGACGAAGAGGAGGGGATAAGACGAAGAAGAAGGGAAGATGGGAATGTCGTCAACACCAAGTCTTCGGTACAAGTCCCAAATAATCCCTCGTTCAATGTCTCAATCCCAATGTCAAGTCTGAATCCAAATGTCGTCAAGTCCCAAAGTCACCGATCTCTCTCTCTCTCTCTCTCTCTCTCTCTCTCTCTCTCTCTCTCTCTCTCGCGCGCGCGCGCGCGCGCGCGTAGTCTGCAGATATTGAGAAGTCAGGTACCGAGAGGGTGAGGGCGAGATGGTGGACTTATAAGACGAAGAAGAAGAACTCTCTCTCTCTCTCTCTCTCTCTCTCTCTCTCTCTCTCTCTCTCTCTCTCTCTCTCTCTTAGTCCGGTACTAACCTGTGAAGGTGGCGCCTGGTTGCAGGTACATCGAAGATGAAGCTGGAGCTATGGGGCCACAGGTAAGTCTCCCTCGCCTCCGCCAACTCTCTCTCTCTCTCTCTCCAACGCTGCTCTAGCTCCTAATAGCGCACAGCGCTGAGGACTACTCCTAATGCTACTACTACTACTGAAGCGCTCCTCCAGAGTGCTGCTGCCGAATCCTGAAGACTGCCTCCTGCCTCCTGCACGTGAAGTGCCCGTGAACTGCCTGGGAAGTCCCTATGAACTCCCTGCAGCCTGCAGGGTGGGCCAGTTCTATATAGTGCTGGCCCATCCGGGAGGCTGCTCTTGCCAATGCCGAAACATGCCAGACCTTGGCGTTGAAGTTCAAACAAAGGTTGTCTTGAAACAGGCCCAAAAATGGCCTGTGCTAAACCCTGGTCTAACGCCTGAGTTTCAGGGCAGGTCGACTTTATGAGGGCCTGCAAATTGCCCTCGTTTTCAGGCTTTTAGGCTGAAACGACACAGGGCCTGTGGCGCCCTTGTTTTCCGTCTGGTCGGGCCCTGCAGGCCCGTGTGGCTGCATAGTATGCCACACTATAATACCAATGATCAGACCAATCAATGTCACAATGCAGACCAAACATACGTCATCATCATCCCAAGGAGTCAAGGGGCCTGGCGCTACACACAGGAAGAATGCGCCAGGCTCACATTATACACGGACGAAGAGGAGGGGGGATCAGACCAAGAAGAGGGAGGAGATGGGAATGTCGTCACGCAAGTGTCGCTGGTATCGATCCCAAATAGTCCCTCGTCAATGTCTCTGTCCCAAGGTCGAGTCTGTATCCAAATGCCGTCATCATCCCGAAGTCCAAATCTCTCTCTCTCTCTCTCTCTCTCTCTCTCTCTCTCTCTCTCTCTCTCTCTCTCTCTCTCTCTCTCTCTCTCTCTCTTGCCAGGTACTAACCTGTGAAGGTGGCGCCTTGTTGCAGGTACAACGAAGACGAAGCTGTAGCTATCGCACCACAGGTAAGCTCCGAGGTAAGTCTCCCTGGCCTCCGCCACTTTCTCTCTCCCAACGCTACTCTAAGATCCTAGCAGCGCCCAGCGCTGAAGACTAATCCTATCGCTCTACTACTACTGCAGCACTCCCAAGATTGCTGCTGCCGAATCAGAAAGACTGCCTCTTGCCACTGCCTGTTGCCTCCTGGGCGGACCGCTCTTGCCAATGCCGAAACGTGCCCAAGAGATCTTTTTGTGCAGGTCGGCGACCTGGACGCCGTGGATGGTTGCCATGTGGCTGAGCCAAGTCTGGCATCTGCACTTGACGTTGAGGAACAGCGCCGAGATGTACAAGTGATCGGGGACCTGATGAATCCGAAGCTCCGTCGTAAAGCCCTGCCACCAGGGGGCCGGGTCCTGATGCGTATAGTCATCAAACTTTTCGATCCGGAACGTCGGCATCCTATACTGCTGCAATGCGGTGGTGTTGCCATCGTTGTCGACCGGCTGGTGTAGTTGTCGAACCTCGTTCTTCAAGGTGTCGAGCTGCTCGCTAATGGAGGCTGGTGCGACGAAGGTGCTGATGTCGCTGATCATCGCTAGTACATGGTCTCGAGTTGTTGCTCCAACTGGCGGGTTGAGGCTGCATTTCTGGGTTCGTCGGCATCTGGTCTTAGTGCTGCTCGCTCCAAGTCCTGTACACGGGTATGAAGTGCCTGTGCGGCCTCCTCGTGCAGATCCTTGTGGTTCCGCACTGCCTGTCAAAGGTTCTCCAGTTCCTGGTGCTGTTCTCTAACTCGGACTGCAGGTGGTTACAAGTATAAACCAACCGGGTCACGAGTTTGGAGAGAAACTCCTTGTGCTGCTCTTCCGGTGTCGTGTTGTCGTGGCCCTCGGATGGTTCGAAATGCCAGAACTTGGCCTGTCAACGCTGGTGGTTTCGTGCCGCTGCAGCAGTTCTAGGGCCTGCCTGCGGCGGGAGTGGGTATCTGCGTCAGCTGCGGCCTGAAGTCGCTGCTTTCCAGCCGCTGCCTCCGCTTCAGCCTGTAGGAGGGCAGCCTCGGCTGCCGCCTGGTGCTGTTCCTCAGCCTCGATCTGTGCGAGCTGGTCTTGGATCCGCTGTCGGAACTCGGCAATGGACTCGCTGGCCAGTTGGCCTGGCATGCCCAAAACGGGAACCGTCATGGTGACGGGGCACTGCTGACGTGGTACTGCTGCTGTCGTGGCACTGCTGACATGGCACTGTTGCTGACGTGGCACTTACCAAACCGGGAATGCGCGCAAAGCGCTGGGTGGGAGGGAAACGCAGGAAGGTAACCAAACTGCACTTCCCATTCCCGATCCTAATCAACAGAATAAAATAATAAAAAACTAAAAAGAACAGGATTCACCCCCATTTTTTTTATTTTTTATTTTAATTGATATCAGTGAGGCATTTACGGAGGGA